ACTAATACAAATTTTGCACCGAAACTGTTGAACATGTAACATTAGGCAAAGTATGCAAGTGTGAACGTGGTTTACATGTAACATTAGCAACATGGTACTAGTTTCAGGCAAATGAACAGGTAAAAATATTGAGTGACTACAATTAATGATCTTCCTGATTTCAATTATTTATTATAAAGAAACAAACACTGGTGCCTTTCTACAAAACTTACTGGTTTACACCAACTCTAGTTGTAACTATTACTATCCCATTCCTTCTCCGTAATTAGCCATAACATCAGCAGTACAGTGTATTCCCCTCCACTTAAATACAAAATTGATGTATTTCGGTTCTGTGAGACCAAACTCACTAACGATATTGAACATTTGTATAAGATCCCTAAATGTACTAGACACTGCGTCAATAGCCACGACACAGTGGTGGTGTCGCACTATATGTTGATATTCAGTAAAATGTTTTGTGAAAGATGATTAAAAGGTTCAGGAGGAGTTCGTGGAGAGTGTTTTCACTGAATTACGTAACGACACACGAAATATCCGAGTGGGAGTAATCTACAGAAGATACCACACTAATATAAGGAACTTTCTTGATAAATTTTCGGAGCTTATCTCTATCATAAGTTCAGAGAGGAAACTTTGCTACATTACAGGAGATTTCAACCTTCATCTATTAAAGTCTGTACAGTCTGTACTCACCCCTGAAGATGTGAATTACACGAAAGCGCTTGGGAACGTCGTGTTTTCTTCTTTCCTTGTGGTTATCAGCATATACCTAGATCACGCGCACCTACAGTGATTTACTTGCATATATATATATATATATATATATATATATATATATATATATATATATATATATATATATATATATATATATATATATATATATATATATATATATATATATGTAACCGGTCGGAATTTACTGGACTTTATTTTCTCACTTGACTTGGGGTTTATTAAAGATTAATAGATGGTAATGGCAGTGGAAGCGCCCCTTTGAGAAAAATCCCGAACCAGCACAAGAACACTTAAATCTACTAAACAAAATGAATTGTCCGTGACCCGTGGAAGGATAGCGTCTGTGACTGGGATGAATGAGACACACTGTAAAATTTAGACACTTATATTCCCTCCAACACTACAAACACAATCAAATAATGGTACACCAATATGCACACCTCTTAACTTGAACTTAAAACACTACTCTGGGGAATAAAAGTTATACATGATATAGAAATTATTAGAAACTCAGGCAACAATAAATTTGAAGTATTAAGAAATGTTGCTTGCACACATGAAACAGGCCTTAAGGGCTTTCAACAAAATAATATCCAGCACTGAGAAAATGGTATTCAAAAATACGAAATTAATAATTCCACCATGAATAGGCCTAAAGGGCACTCAATATAATTATGTTACACCAACAGATGCACACTTCCTAACCTAACTTAACCACTACTCTGGGGAACAAAGGTTACCTGAGATTGAACTATAAAGAAATATTAAATGCACACAGCATACATTAGTAACTGAAAAAATAGTATTAACTACACACAAAAATACTGTCACTATTATAAAGACGTTACTGAGTCCAATACCCGTGAACCATGCTCCCTAACCGAACACACACACAGATTCCACCTGCACTCCGTAGTCGTTTAAGGCACAACCAACAGGCACCCGTAGTTGAAGGCCCAAATCAGCCTTTCTCCACCTTGGAAAGTGTACCTCTAAACTCCACTGACTCTTGGCCCCAGTGTGCGACCCTGTATCACTCAGCTAGCTTCACTTTACCCCCAGTACATCCATGAAACGGAAGGGAGTGAGCCAATCAGACCTTGTACAGTTGAGAGAAGCTTTAGCTTCCCGTTAGCAAGAGGGTTTCACTAAGCTGCTCGAGACATGTGGTGTTGTGAGCCGAGGTAGAGGAGAGCTGATGACCCCAACGATCGTCCAGTCGTCAGCTGGGCACCCAGACAGCTAGATTCCCTCAATAGATGCTTTGATACCCCGCTAAACAGTGACAGGCCTACACTGATCGGTCCAATGGCGACAATCGCCACCCTCAATCATCAAAGGCAGTCTCAAACGGCAGTCAATCTCTTACGGTCATCACTCTCGCAGTCAAGTGGGTTCTGACAGAAACCCTGAAATGAACTCACTGTTAGCTCTTGTTAACTTTACCACTGCCCTATCTAACCCTGTCTGAGATCGAATGAGACTCACTTGTTATACTGCAATAGTGCAACACAGGTGACTAGGCCACGTGACTATTTCTGTGGACGGACGCGCAGGGATGTCCTGTAGGTCCAATCGCTTTCACGTGACTGAGGACCAGCCAGCGTCGCGTCTCTCCAAGGCGCTAGCTTAGGCCTACGTGACATATTTTCCGCCTAACTAATAACTCCTTGGGACACCCGTAACATTATTCAGACTGATAAACGATCTATAATAATTTCAAATTCAATAATAGTCCCTTAACTTCATGAATCGCATCATTATTAATTCGGCAAATTACATTTAATATCATATAGGCCTAGTTCCACAACCTCCCACTATGTGCGGGGAGCGCTCTCTTCCCTCAGACGACCTTGAAAGCTCAGTATGATAACCACAAGGAAACAAGAAAACACGAAGTTCCCAAGATTTGTAACCAGGTGAGAAGGTTGGGTCATCTTACCCTATGACCTGACTAGAGTCAGGTGCTGTGCTTAGAGATGGCATGGTAAATTTTTTGATTAAGAAGATTAGATAGGGTTCTGACCGGAACATTGTGGACACCTGTTGTCCCATAGGAATTTGATCTCACTCTCCTCTACTGTATATATTAGCCTTGTCAAGTATTACTCCACTGAAGATGTGAATTATACGAAAGCGCTTGGGAACTTCGTGTTTTCTTGTTTCCTTGTGGTTATCAGCATATACCTGGATCACGCTCACATATATATATATATATATATATATATATATATATATATATATATATATATATATATATATATATATATATATATATATATATATATATATATATATATATATATATATATATATATATAATAAATAAGACATTATAAAACAAAGATAACCTACAGTATCACGACTGCTTAACATGTGATGATATGCTGTAGAATATATCCATGTGTGTATAAATCTATTGTATGTCTATGGAAATACCTATTCCTTGTGGGCTTGACACGAAGAATTCTTCCTGGAATTTCCTGAATGTGAAAATGTTGCCCCAAATCCCGTAGAATTCAGGAGTCACAGCTTATACGAAGGTCACGGTCACTGGGTCAATGTCCACGAAAATTCCTGATTGCAGCAAACTGTAGAAGTTGCTCCCTGCCCATGAACTCAAGGACTCTGGGGTTCACTGGGTACACTTGTGCTTACCAAGTTCGCTGACTATGTCAAACCAATCTCTGGTTGTTGACTGGGTGTTGTTCAACTTAGAAGGGTTAGCTGAGTACTGGTAGCTGGCGGTATTCTTCACGTCATATGAATAAATGCGCTGACTCGTCCTGTCACATCCTGGACAGTGAACGAATCATTTGCAGAAACTAATGTTCACTTCAGCTTACAGGATGTTGATTGCTGACTTAATGTTTCTTCAGTCACGCCACGGCTGGGTGCAGCTTGCCTTTACAGAACTGTTGCCACAATATGTAAAACTTATCAATAACTCATTTAGTAATTGTTATTGATAAAAAAATTATTTTTTACTTCATCTTGAATGACAAAATTAATATGGCTCAACATGTAACGTCTCACTACGGGGTATATAAATGCACTTTGGAGGAGTATAACATGTCACGGTTTTTCTTTTTTTGTAAAACACTTATGACTTGTTCTTGGGAAAGTTATAGGTCTAATTCTTGTAACTTAGGTTGATCCCATTATACTGCCACCTTGTGTTCTGGCCCTTAACCATTGATTCTTGATTAGTTAATGGAGCTACAACATGTAAAAGTTTATTGGGTTTTCTGTAGTGAAACCCAATATGTTCCTATTCTGTGTTTATTATAAAAGGTTTCTATGTACGCCTTCAAAAAGAATATCACCGTAACTATCTCAAATGAGCTTTGGATGTTAGGATCAGACGGCAAGCTTGTCTGTGAAGTTTGGTAATCAATACATCTGTTTCTCTTGAGGGTTGAGTGAAGACCGAGTGATCACTGGGGGCAAACAGCCGGCTCGATACAGCTGACCTAAGGTCTAAAGAGAGACGCGACTCCAGTGGAAAGTTATGGATCAGGTGTTAAATGAATGGACCACATGATCACTGCATGACATCTCACTGCTCATGGAAAGTTACCGAGTGTGATGAAGTTATACAAGACAAATGTAATTAACCCACATTTATATAATATTACTGTCAACAATGAGACAGGGGCTATTACAGGGTTATTGCTGTCGAGAAACTAAGCTGGAGAAACCACATACAAGCCATTCACAGTCAAGTCACTCAATCTTGCAGCAATGAAAGAAATCTATTATAATCTTGTTTACCAACTATTGATATACTGTCTCACACTATGGGGGGCCTCTGTCTCTACAACAACACAACCCCTGGTTATTGCGCAGAAGAGAGTTGTGTGGCCAATGACCTACTTGAACAAATTTATCACACTAACAACAATTTGCTAAATTGAAAATATTAAAATTAGAGGCTATTAACACCTATTGCTGGGCCCTATTTAATTACAAATCTGTCAATCTCTTGATCTACAAAGATATCCTGTTCTCTCCAGACATTTTCTAGCATATCGACGTTAACTTTAAAACAGCGTTTTAAATCCTATTCTTCAACTGCCCAGAAGATGTTGTATTGGTGGAACAAACACTTCACAGTTCACATAGTCCCAAAGGAAAAAGTCAAGGGGGGTGAGGTCAGGTGAACGAAGTGGCCAATTAATGACCCGCGCTCTATCCAACGGTTAGATAATTGTTTATTCCGAATCAGAATATCATGGAGTGCAAAAAAAATTTAGACATCACTTTGTTATTGTGTATTTTATATTTGGCTCTACCATTGTTAGTTTCTTTATAATAAATATTTGAAATCAGGAAAATCATTTATGGTCACCCTGTATAGTGTGAAAGTTAAATTAGTGTATGTTGTAAGGCACCAAAGAGCCACAGCCATGAAAGTCATCCTCATTATCAAGTTAATAAATATACAACATACATCTTTACAACACTGAAATGAAACTACAAACTATGATCTCTACTCCACAATATTAAAGCCAAACCATACATCTTTGTATTCTAAGTGTCCTCTAATGCATACAACTACAAACACAGGGTTAGTTACACCTCACTAATAACTGCAACTGCATATGTATTAAGTTAAACATGTTAATATATACAAAAATACTAACTATTGTTAATTTACCTATTTATACTTAGATAAACTGTATCTTCGTGTTAATAAACACATAAAGGTGAACAAGTCACTAATAAACCATTTTGAAGTTGAGTTACTGAAACTCTTGACCTTTACATAAAACAGAATGATGCTCATAGATGACAAATATTAATCACTTCCATTCTCACCAAGTAGCTAAATGTATTATATTTATTTCAGTAATAATATCTTATATGACTGAATACACAAAATAATTATCATTCGCAAATGATCAGAATGTAATGCCAGATATATTTATTGAAATACAATTCAACAAATGAGAACGGACATGACTATGAAGGACAGAGGTGTACATAGATCCAAGTGTACAGCCGACGCCGCTGAATATCTAAGACTTGATATTTGATACTGTTGATGCCATCAGTGTTAAATCTCTTTTTTCCTTCATGTAAGAAGCGGTACCTGCAAAAGTGGACGTTAAAAAATATATTGTTATTCAATAATTATATTGTTTTACGCATTTTCCGTTTCATTCTATAGTGACATCATTCGAACAACTGAACTAATCTCTTTACTTTATCTGTAAACTGAGCTACACGATGTTTAGTTTCTAGGTTTACCACAACCAAGAAGCAGGAAGGCTTCTACAATAATAGGAACGCTGAGTATTTCTGTACATATCTTTATCTTGACGCCCATCTTACTTTCAGTCTTCTTTACTCCCACTCACATAAACTAGTTTCAATCATTCACCTCTTTCAACTAAATGTACCCATCGAATTTTGTAGCACCAGTTCACCCTGTCAATTTCTTTATATCTCTATATATTTACTCTCCGCCTAGTGATTCAGGCATGCAATATCGTAGCTTGAATGCAAGTAATTATCCTATTATCATAACCATGCAATACTATGACCTAAATTCTACCTATAATTGTACTCTTTCAAATATATATGCACTGTACATATTATGGTATCCCATGATGCGTAATAACTCATCAACTCATAAACTAAATAATGAATTTAAAATACTTTCTACATACCTCTCCTTATTGGGTTTCTCCTTCGTGTGAGACAGCATAGTATAGCGACCAGTTATTTTCGGGGAACGAGATATGAAGAAACCATGGTATATTAACCTGTTTGCCATGTCATCGTCTTCTCCTCCCCAGCCCCAGAATTTGTTGCTGAAGCCGTTCACAGTTCGAAAATGATCTACAGACAGGCCACGTACACCACCAAATAACATTTCATAAGGCAACCTGTAATGACACCATAATTCACAAGTTATGGCACTTTCCACAACCTGAGGTATGATAAACCCTACAGAACGATACACTGTTTTCAAATGACATTCATGTATGTAATGTACAATATACTATAGAGTACATACTTTCAAATACAGTAAAATCCCGTTTTATGAAATGTCTGTACTATTTTACTGAATATGATATTTTTCTGAGGAGAAAATATGTGATTGGTTAAGATTTTAATCAAGCAACCACTGGTCCCGAATCAGCCACTATGCACATTTGGCACAAATAATAGCAAATTCTGTTGTTAATAGCTCTAATTGCGTTCTCAATAATTGCACCAATTTATTACCCATGAACATGAGAAAAGCAATCATAGAATCCACACGCTTAACATAATTGCCTACTGCAAAGAAGAAAAGTTTCATTAGCAAATGTGAGAAACTATACATTTTACATTGTCTCGACACAAGTGGAGCAGCAAAAAACTCATCAGAGAATATACAGCAACATCAGAACCACCACTTTGTATGACTTAATGGCCAAGAAGGTATCTCTATAATTTGATATCAAATATGTGTATAGAGAATTGTATATGTACTGAATGTGCAGTACATCAGTATTCACACACGTATGTCGGTATAATTCTTACCAGTGGCTTGTTGGGGGCACAGGGACCATGGCCCCAACAGCTACCAACAGGGAAGCGCCAAAATCATGTTTAGTGGCGCGAAAATCATGTTTGGTGGCGCCAAAATTTATAATTTAAGGAAAATTACAATGGCAATAATTCTTTGTTGAAAGAGTTTAAATTTTCAACCACTAAACGCAACACAGCTTCCCTCACTGTCAGCGACAGAGCCTTTATCACTACCAACTACAATACAGCCTCCCTCACTGTCAGCTACAGCAGAGGCTGCAAGGGCATTTTCACAACAGAACTGACATGGCCATCCTTGTCTAGCATCGTACCTCTGCTGCAGTTTACCTGATATAATTAATCCATTCACATTAGTGAGACAAAAAGTGAAATTAAGTATTGAATAAAAATAAAGCAAATCAATTGGCGGTCGTTTGAGGCACTGTGTACAAGGTACAACTTTCCACCAAGACAAGACAGTTCGTCAGTGGTTATCTTCCTCCGAAAGTCAGGATGCACTCTCTTGCTTGACTTGTATACTTTGTTCCGACATGGTGCTTCGTGGTGAAAGTATTTGTGCTAATCAAGGCAATGATTTCACTCAAGATGTAAAGGAAGTAAAGAACTATAAAATCTCAAATGCACATCGGTTATCAGTTGTGGCAAGAGTTTTGGGTTTTTTTAGAGAGGAAAATCAATTTAACCCATTTAATCCAACAATCCGAAGCTAGATGTTAAGAAAAAGCTCTATACTTAAAACAGGACAGTTGTGGAGAGAATTGTAGAGGTGATCAGTTTTCTTGGGAGACAGTCCTTGTCATTACCTGGGCATCGGGATCATTGTGCTCTGAAACCACAAGCAACAGAGGCAACATCCTTGAGTAATTAGATTTGCAGTACTGTATTATCTAAGTTCCAGCCACATTCAAAATCAGGTATATGATGTTCTAACCTACAGTGTAGCTTTATAATTCCAACATAAACTTTCGCCACGCCTACCCAACATTTGCAAATGTTTACGGAATATTGGCTGCTATATCAACCACTGCATGCATGCACTGCAAAACGGACATTCTATGTTTAAAGCTAATGAAAGTTTGGACTCGAAACTCAAAAACACAAAAAATACATCGAGGGTTGATTCTCATGACTGTTGAGCGAAATACTGAATGTATTGTCAGAAATCTGAAAACAGGATCCATCATTGATGCACTGGGAAAATCATCTAGTGAATTCAATGTTGCATATTTTATAATATGCATGTAACCGTAATAGTTTTTATGTACATAAGAAGTATTTGTGCTTTCTTATTGTTAGGGGTTCAGTTTATACAAATATGTTTCATGGCTAAATTACATGTATGATGTTACTATTTTTATTATTATTATTATTATTATTATTATTATTTACGGAGATTAGCCCACCCGGGCACAGGTCTCTGACCCACATCAAGGCCTGGGGAGCGAAAACATAATAATAATAATAATAATAATAATAATAATAATAATAAAAATAATAATAACAATAATAATAATAATAATAATAATAATAATAATAATAATAGTAAAAATTAATAATAATAATAATAATAATAAAAATAATAATAATAATAATAATAATAATAATAATATCTATTATTATTATTATTATTATTATTATTACAACAATTAATATAATTAATAGCAAATTAACACAAATAAAATAATAAAAATAATAATAATAATAACCATAAATAAATACAAAAACGAAAAAAATAAATCAAGAGTGAGAAACGATACACATTATGTATGTTGTGTTGTCTAAGTAACATAAACAATTGAGACCCTGCAATTGTGTGTAAATGAGGCAGAAAGTCAGATGAGCAACCTGGGACTTGGTCACAATTTTCATGATGCCATTTGGCAGCAGGGTCTATCATTAGACAATACATTATGCTTCCAATATCTTCCCAGGTGGTAGTACCTCCCTGATTGGTAGCTGCTTACTTCCTACTACTACGAATTTGTGTACTTGTCAATTGAATATTAATGCTCCTGTCTTTTAAATGTATCTATGCTAGAAATCTAAAAAGGGGGACCAATACTAACGCAGTAAGCAAATAATCTAGTAAACTAGCTATATACTACCTGTAGTACTGATTAACTTTTATGAAACTAACACTTTATATTTATTAAATGATACAATAAGTAATTGTACTTTATTGCAGTTAGTAGATAGGTTTATCAATATAAAATGCAACGTCTTATGGTCAAATTACAAGCATAATAAGATTTATATTTTTATATTGAGGGTTGATGACAATGTTATTCAGCAAATCACGTACTGAACTAGCTCTCAAACTCTCTTGATGAATGTGTTTAACTTCAATATTTTCTCTGAGTGCGAAACAAAATAAGTAGCTGTCTTTTTATGGTAGCTCGTGTGAGTTTACAAATATAAAATGTAACAATCATTGGCTAAATTGTTTAATTTGCCTATATGTATGGTACATTTATATTTTTTGTTTGTCAGCTGATTTTCGTGTCAACGTTCATGGACTCTCGTCTCAGAATCGGTATCTCTTTTTTTTGCGAAGGAGAGGAGCGCCCACATATGGCCCACCACGCCACTGATTATTGGGTCTATTGGTGGGTGCATGCAATCAATAGTAATAGTTGTTTAACCACAAAACATCAGTATTCTACACAGTGTTATGCTTATTCTGTCTGTGATATTCATGGTATGGGTGGCTGTCACTAGAGGATACTAGTAACATGCTTGATGCAGAGTCGTAGTTGAAACCAACTTCAGGACATTAGAGTTTAATTCATTTTTTTAAGTTAATATCTCTTATGTTGTTTTTTAATTAATTAAAATGTCTTCCTCTTAATCACAACTTGCTAACTGAAACAATTATACACGATGATTTTGCGCCTTAGTGTCAACTTTTCTTTATTGTTTGCGACTTTGCTACACTGTTGTGATTATTATGGGCTCCATTGCCACTCTCTCTTGCCTGCACTTGCTACTATTTAGTGTTTTTTTGATAGTCATTAACTGATACAAGCATCATTATGTTACAATATGTTCTTTATTCCTATAAATGGTGGACCACAGTCACTGCCAATGAGTTTTTTTCTAACTGTGTTTTTTCATGGACAGTGGCTCCAGATTTTCTGTTGTCAACCAAAACTTTCACGTCATATACTCATAAAAAAATTGAATTTTATTAATTTACAATTTTAGGACACAGGGGCAATGATCAAAGCATTACCTTTACCAGAACAGCTTTGATGATACTTGTATTGTTCACTGCCTGATTCTTGTTGTTCAATATGCAAACAGCCTAGAATGCCAAAAAACGTTTTTTACAGAGCCGACATGCACATTCCCGTCCTCCTTCTAACTGAACTATAATATATTCCAAAATTGGATTTTTGAAGGTAAATGTAAAAAGTACATATTAATTTTCATAAACATTTGGATAACTAAAAGCTCTTGTGGACACTTGGCTGGTCTGGTAGGCTTTAACTGAAACAACAGACAACTTCAGCTAAAACTCATTTCTTTCTCCCTGTGGTATAGTTTCGAATCGTTTTTATTACTGTAGAAAATGAATATCACTAAGTAAAGAACAAAGAAAAGTAACACATTTTCGCCTGGGAACCTCAAAAAGACGCGAGAAAAAAATTAGCCACTAATAATATTTATGATTATGCATAATACACATGACCAATGGGCATGTGTATGCATCGTGGAATATGTGTCAACATGAATATTGAAACAAAAATGATATCAACTTATGACAATGGACAATGTTTGTTAAAATGCAACATACCTGTACTTGAAAGTATCAACAGCGGTGGATAGGTGTCGAGGTTGGTCAGGACAGGTGTAGAGGTTACGATCATCCTCCGATAGTAAATCAACGTCATGGAAGATGAAGCAGTCATGCTTGTATAATTTTAACGCCTCCAAGGCTCCCACATTCAACAACATTGCCCGGTTGAACTTATCATTACCTGAAACTGGATTGTGGTCATCAATACTGGATGGATAATAAAATATGTAATCTGCCTCACGTTATTTACCTTATTCACAACTCTTTCAACCAAAGTGTCCTGCAATCTCTTGATATCCTGTTTCAGGAACAAAACTTCATACTAACTTGAATCCCTTATCGTGATAAAAAATCCTTTAAAAACTTCCAATATATATATATATATATATATATATAATCAACGACTTCACCAGCCAGGATTCGAACCCTCGACCTACTGGGTGGGACTAGGGAATGCAACCGACCAACCCACAAGGACACTAAAAGCAGTCCTAGGCTCTGTTATATTTTACACAAAGCCTGTTCATCGAGCTGATGGCACCGTGAACCTCATTGGGAACTGCCCGTGCCGCGTATGTGGTGTCAGTAGCATTTTACCGAATCCAGCTGGTATGAAACACGAGGTACAATATATACTGTATATACTTCATTTTTAGTCCTCGTGTTTCATACCAGTTGGATTCGGTAAAATGCTACTGACACCACATACGCGGCACGGGCAGTTCCCAATGAGGTTCACGGTGCCATCAGCTCGATGAACAGGCTTTGTGTAAAATATAACAGAGCCTAGGACTGCTTTTAGTGTCCTTGTGGGTTGGTCGGTTGCATTCCCTATATACACACACTAGTATATCAGGCCTACTGGTGTCTCGACTTACCTCTAGAAGCCGGGTATCCCGTTGTTTCAGTGAAAACACTTTCATATTTTTTTCTGTTAGCTTATTCTCTGTTTTCATGTAAACAAACCATTTACCTATTTCTATTTAGCATACACACATGTACTGAGGCAAGCCTTATTATCTAATTATCTATAGTTATTTAACACTGCCTACGAAATTATTTTTTCATTCATTTCCATAAAAATCCCAACAATCACGATTCTTCAGAATATTTTCAAGTATTAATAATCTTGTAATGCCCACTTTATATTCCTGCTTATAATGTACCATCTAAACCGTCATGTTGTTAGATAGAAACTACCATTGCACTATTTATAGTTGCCGACTATACAAGACACTGACAGCTCTGTCCTCTTGTTCCACCTTAATATAACCCATGTTGTACTACTTCCCACCCTCATCATATTTATGTATATCAACACTGTATCATATGTATATACTTATAATAAAACAATATATATATATATATATATATATATATATATATATATATATATATATATATATATATATATATATATATATATAAATAAAGAAAACAAATAAATAACGAAACCCCCTGACGGAGACACGATGATCCTCCCCATACTGGCCAGATATTTTGTAAATAATATTGATTATGTGTTAAAGGAACATCCTTCCTTCCTTAGGCTTTAGTAAGCCCCTTTATAATATTTATACTGTATATACTTGTCACACTTGCCAGATGCTTCTGGTGTCATTGTACAGGGGTACCTAGTGACAGCACTAGAATCCCGCTTCTTCTATCAAGGAATAAACAATTGAAATTGAAATTGAATTGAAATAACGAAGGTAAAATTCTGACGTGTTCTTACTACTACCATGTTACGTATATTATTCCAGATGATACTAAATGTTCCATTATGCCTCCTTGAGATAAATGAACGGTATATATCAGGTGCCTTCAAGAGAGCTCAGGCTCTCAACTGGCTCAGCCATTTAAATATTGTTATTATTATAGACTCTATATCTGTATTTAGCTGGCTAAATAAACTGTTTCAATATCAATATCAAAATCAATATCAATATCAAGTTTTGAGGATCAATTTAATCTTTCCATTCTGCCCTGATTATATGATCTGGTGCACAAGATGTTGAGAATAACCGAAGCCAAGTGTTTGTCCCACACCTGACAGTTTTGTTAAAGGTGAAAGATTTATGCGTTTTGAAGGGAAACCAGAGCTCATCATCTCTCGGACGGGCATCATTTCCCACGTGAAGGACAGACTAAATAAAGCCAAAGTTTCCGCAGCCAAATTAAAACGTTTAAACTGATGCCTGAGAAGATACAAGTTCACCTGTACAAGGCGCTGGTGAGGCCTGTGTTGGAGTACTCACATATACCACTCGTCACACCCAGGAAGACTAGACTACAACAACTACAGAGCTTCCAAAACAAGTGTTTGAGGTCAGCCAGTGGCCAAGCTCCACCCTACCAGCAGACAGTGGAAACCATCCACCTAAGAAATAAAACAGAGGCCCTCAACGTCAGGTTCCATCGCCTAAGGAAGAAGGTTTGGGACAAGCTCCTGGACGATCCTCACAGCCAAGACCACCTGCGAGGGGTGAAAAAAACACACCAAGCATTCTAGAATACTTCAAACACACACACTACAAGTACTACTTTGCTGTCACTCGGAATCGAGTATGACGATCATTCAGCTATGATAAATTGATATGAGTTATTAATGATGTCACCGTAATTGGTAAGCTCTGGGGTGACTAAAGAGACCGATACGGGACCGACAGAATCGTTCACAGATATTACACATTTGGAGGCTACATCAAGTGTGGGAGGGGTGGCAGCAGCGTCTTTCCGGCGTTGGCACTTGTCTGCATCGGTATGCAGTCGGGCCAACTCTAAAGTATTGACACCTTCTCATGTGGTGCTTCTCCAAGCGTTATGGTGTGGAGTAATCGTCTCCCAGGTGAGGGGGTCGATTTGGCACTTTTTCAGGTTTGTCTTCAGACTATCCTTATACCTTTTCAGTTGCCCGCCAGCATTACGTTAACTATTCATTAGGTGACTATAAAGTAGCTGCTTAAGCAGTCTACTCTCATGCATGTGGGTAACATGGCCAGCCCAACGTAGTTGTATTTGGATAATGGTAGCCTCGATGCTCCTTCAGTTGTTGTCAGCAAAAACACTGGCATTTGCTCTCTTGTCCTCACCACGAACTCGGAGGATGGAACGTAGCCTACATTGGTGAAAGTTTTCAAGTGCCTTGAGGTGCCTCCTGTATGTGACCCATGTCTCGCTGCCATATAGCAGAGTGGGGAGGACCACTGCTCGATATGCATGCAACTTTGTTGATAATTTCAGCTCCCTCCAGCTGAAAACAAGTGTACATAGTCTGCCAAAAGCTTGAGATGTTTATCTGATCTAATGTAGAATCTTTTTATCAATGTCCGCGGTGGTGGACAGGCGGGAGCCGGGATACTGAAAGTGGAAAACATTAGAGAGGGTAGTGCCGTTAAGCTGGATGGATGGTGGAAGTGTAGCTGAAGCAGGCACAGGCTGAAAAAGAATCTGAGTCTCATGTAAATTCACCTCAATGCCGAAGTGTGCTTACACATCTGCAAAGGTGTTCAGGATCTCCCATAGATCGCATTCAGTGAGTGAGCGACAAAGGTGAGGTCGTCTGCATACTCAAGCTTAGTAATGGAAGCTGCAGACACTTTTGTTCCTGCCTGGAGTCGTCCTATGTTGAAAAGACCCTTCATCCGGTGGTGAATGTCCATCCCCGCCGGCTAAATTGGCACTGGCACAAGTACAGTAAGGATCGGAGCCAAAAAAATGGAAAGAACTCAGATTGGGTGCCATTGTGCAGGACACTGCCGTTAATGCCATCGTGGACTTGCCCACAATGGCGATGAATTTTGGAGGGCAGCCAAAACGGCTGAGGGACTGCCAGAGGGCTTCCCGGTTGACCGAGTCAAAGGCCTTGGTTAGGTCGATGAAGGCCATGTACAGGTGACAACACTGTTCTCTGCACCTTTCCTGTATCTGGCGGGCAGCAAAGATCATGTCAGAGGTGCCACGTGATGGTCTAAAGTCTAAACCCACATTGAGAATCTGGGAGGAAGTTTTCCGCCTCAGGAAGAAGTCTAGGAGGACTCAGACGATAATCTTGCCAGCCATGGACAGCAGCGAGATCCCGCGGTAGTTGCCACAGTCTGACCAGTCTCCTTTGTTCTTATAAATTTTGACGATAGAGGTGTCTTTAAGAGCTTGGGGGAATTCCTCCTTTACCCATATATTTTCCAGGAGAGAGTGGAGACTGCTGGTAAGCAGTGCCTCCTGCTTTATACACCTCGACTGGGATTCCATCAGGTCCTAAGGTATTGTTATTCTTTTATCAGTTTAATTACAGAAGCTACCTCATTCAAAGATGAAGGGTATCTGAGATGGGTCAGCTCTGGATGCTGAGGGACCTGCTGGGTAGTCAGGACATCCACATTGGTGTTTCAGTTGAGCAGCGCATGGTAGTTCTCTTTCCAGTGCTGAAAGATGCCTTCTTTGTCTTTAATTAGGGAGTTACCATCGGATAAGCGGAGGGGGCTACACCATCAGTGATTGGCCCATTAAATGTTTTAGTGGAATGGAGAAATTCGCGCATCTTGTGTTGATCTGCAAGTTTTGCGTTTTACATGTTTTATTTTTAAACCAGCCATTCTTTAGTTTTCGAAGTTCGCGTTGGGCCACCGCTTTCTTCTTGCGGAAGGTATCAGCTTTGGTCCGAGACTGAGAGTTGTTCTGCCAGTCGGTTAAAGCAGCACGTTTATCATCGACGAGTACATTGATTTCCGAGTCATTTTCATCAAACCTGTCTTGGTGTATTCTTTCGATCTGGCCAAGGGCCTCTCTGCAGTTTTTTTCATGACAGTGTCGAGAATACCCCATTCGGCACTGTGATTTGGGTAGTTTGTTGTCGGGTTGTTTATCAGCCCATATTCGAGCTGCTCTCTGAAAGCACGTACTTCCGCTGTTTCCTCCAGACGCTTAGTGTTAAAACCTCTTCTGAAGGCTTGTTGCCTTCGCCGTTTTGGGGGGACTTCATGTGAGAGCTAGGCTCTGACGAGCCACTCATGGCTCGAGTGATGAGGGAATCTTGGAGATCACTCTCTGAATATGATGTAGTCAATGAGATACCAGTGTTTGGATCGTGTCGGCCTGCCTAAACAAGGTATTGGTGATAGTGAGCTTGTGTGCAGCACACTTGCTGAGGTGAAGTAGGCCGTTAGGGATACACTTGCCAAGTCCATT